TGCCTGACCGCAAGTTCTTCAAACGTGTTCAAACTTATTAATAAGAGAGCAAAAATGAAAAACTAAATAAATAAATAAATTCTTTCAGTCTTAACCCTAGTCCTTCCTGAAAAGACCAGGCCCCTTACTTTAAGGATTGCTGTATCAATATTAAGAAAAGTTGGCTTGAAAGTGCAAGCAGAAAATATATATAAATCAAACAGACACCTTTTTTCCTTTACTCTTTTATGACTGAACAGGCACAGCACAGCTAAAAAGACCAGCTGTTGGTGCGATATGGTCGCTTGTTAGTAGAGCAAGCCAGATCCATCACAGAAACTCCCACATCTTCAGCAAACAAAATAGAAACCAGCCATATATCGACTTATCCGCTCATTTCACTTGTTTCTATATCCATATTGAAAAGTTCATGGGACAAAAAAAGCCAAATTCATATTGGTCGAGTACGAAAAAAATGGTCTGATTTATTTGTTAGACATGAAAGTACATGAATGAAATAGAGATTGATTTTTTTTTTTGTGTGTGGGTGTGGGGGGGTGGGGGGTGGGGGGACAAATTTTGTTCTGGTTTTCTACTCAGCTTTAGACCATGCATTTTAATCTGTCATCTGCTTATATCCACCATGAACTGCTAGTAGTGGGGCTTGAGACACAGTAGTCCCATGCATTTGACCAAACTGAAACAAAGCCTTTGCTACTAGTATTTTACTTAAACGGTGAGACTCGTTTATCACATGAGGTAACAGACTAAGATGGTCCAAGGCTGTGTTAGGCCGGATTCCAGAATGTCATTCAATGTGTACATTTACGTCACAAGGTCAGTGCTGCAACATTTCTACAGAACGAGTTAGGCAACATGTCTACAGGTTCAGAATTAAAGGAATATAACAAAAACTCTCATTGTACAGTGTACCTACAACTAAGACACTGCCATTCAAATGAAGCTGCTGAATTATGATTCTGTTTCATCACTTGCTTCTTCATCTTGAAACCTAATCACAAATCCAAACATTCGCTGCTATAAGGGGCTCTACGTCTACTGCCCTGGAGTTTTGATATAGGATAAATCCGATTTGAGACTTGATAGTCTGCACTTGTAACATAAATTCAGGCCTATGCCTGTGGACAAAGTGAGGATAAGGCAATTACAGGTTTCATAGGGTAATCAGCTCCAATTCCATCAATTGCCAAATTGCCTTGTTTTGCTCAAACGAACTGATGAGTTCCATGCCAACATCTACTGCAACATGATTCCTAGGGCCGCTGCTTCACAACACAACACAACGATGATTTGTCAAGCATGTCCACAACGAGGGTCCTATTTTGTTTACAATTCTCTCATACATTCTGTCAGAGGATTGTGATCGTCTTCTTCTATTTACATAATTAACATCCTTCTTTTCAACTCAATAATGTAAAACTATCTACTATTTCACAGCTTATTGAAATACGACAGATGGCTCCGGATGACTTCCTTAACCCGATGAATCAAAGGAAATCCAGCAATTTCAAATCAAGGATTCATCAATAGAGTCCAAAATATGCTAGCGCAATAGTTAACAGCATAATAGATTCTTAGCCCAACAAGCAAGCAAACCAGTATAACCTAACAGTCAGAGATAATTTCCAGAAGCTATTGTAAGAAAAGATGCAGAGCAAATACCATCAAGTGCGAGCAGCATATACGAAAAGTTCAGAATAAACAGATCAAGTGGAGAGTACCTCATTGGCCTTCAAACTCCAGGCATTTTGCACTTCTCTGCCCCCAGGAACGCATACGTCAATATTCACAGCTGGTATTTCATTGGTTTTGATGCGTTTAGTCTAGCAAGCCCACAACTCCTAGTCTACAGCCATGAGCTATCGAGGTATTTCCGCACCGTTTTCTGCTCATTATAGATAGCATAGGCTTTGCATTTCAGTGTCCTAAACCAGTGACGTCGGATGACTCTGAGTCAACTTAATCTCCGTTACTTTAGATCACCAATTCGTCATGTCACGACCGAAACATCCAACAAAGTCATCTACTTCTTTCATAGACACCAAGCCCTTTACACTCTCAGATTTTCTTCATATGATCCAGAAATCCCAGGACACCAACCTCCTTCAACTTGTCGAAGAGGGGGCCGCTGTTCCCATCTCGCGCTAGTTGGTCAGGGGAGGCAACGGCAATAAGAACGCAGTTCTCACCATTGCCGACATCTATCTCGTACAACGCAGCAAAAACCTCACGCAAAGAAGCGAGCAAATTTTGGTAGGAGGACTGACTCGGAGAAATCACATTTACCACCACTACACCCTTCCTCTCCTGAACGACCGACCTTGCCCCCAGAAGAACACTTTTCCTGACGAACCCCGACGGCGGCGCACTAATAACTCCCTCCATCAGAGGGTCCTCCGAATCCAAATCCACCATAATCACATCAAAGCCATCCGAATCAAGCTCCACGTTTCTCGACTCCATCAGCTCAATCCCGTCACCAACGGCGACCCGGAGAAGATCGTCTTCGACCAGTCCAAAATGCCGCCTCGCAACACTTAAAACCACCTCATCCGCCTCCACTCCTACGACGCCGAACCCCAAACCGCATGCCGCAAGCACATCAGCGAGGTCCCCGCCGCGACCCGCATACAGGAGAGCCCTTGTCGCCCGACCCAGATCATGGCGGCGCCCAGGGAGAAAAGGGCAGCCACCATGCCGGACCGAGAAAGGCTGCACGGGAAGGCCGCTTGGGGCAGGAGAGTTCCCAGGCCGCGGAGCCCGGTTGGGCGAGGCGCACCTGGCTCTGCCACGAGCGTTGGGAGCCTCCTGAACCTGAGCCGCCTCCGCATCTCCCCGCCGTCGAACCTCGACGTCCTAACCAGCCATGCTCCCGACGACGGGGCCACGAGGTGGGTCCACAGGAACGATCGCGCCAGGTCATCGTGGTAGGAAGAGGGAAGGGATGGTGGGCGATTTGGGCGGGGAGGAAGAAGGGAAAGAGGATGCCGGGCGGAGAGCGGCGAGGAGGCAGAGGAGCGATTGCTGCTCCTGGAACCGCGCCGGATCGTTGCTGGGGCATCCAGGTTGCTTTAGGGCGAGCGTCAGCATGCGGTTGTTTGCGGGGTGTGGAGGGAGGTAGGCGACGAGGATCAGCGGCGAACAGCCGGCGCCTCGTTAAGCAAGAGGACGGCGACATGCAGCTGGAGGTGCGCCGGCTTCGGTGGAGAAGATCCAGTCGTTGCCTCCTGCGTCGACGGGGCAAGCATCGCGGCACCGAGATTACGATGAGCGACGACGCACGACGACACGCATGTGGCGGAATCGAGCGACCGCGATCCGAAGGAGAGGGATGGAGTACAATCGTGTGGCACATGGAGGCAGGAGTTAGGAGGAGGAGCAGGGGTTGGGGGAAAGTGAAGCGGCATGAACGCGAGAGGCATGAGAGAGGAGCTCGAAAGCATGGGGATCCATGGGGACGCCCCCTCCATCTCCATCGCCATCGCCGCCTGCCAACATTTTCCCCGCCGTTCGCTCCTCCCTTGCTAGTGAGGCCGCCTCTGGGCCCCAGTGATGTTCCTCCTTTGGAAGAATTGAGAGCCCATTCTTGACTTGTTGGGCTTCTCAATGCTATGGCACTGGATTCGCTTGGTTCGGGCCGATCCTTCGCTATTGCTATTTCAAATAAATAAATAAATTAGTAACGATTGTTGAGTTTATTTTTTAAGTCTCCAAATTCAAATCTTTGTCAAATTAAAATTGCCCCCTTGATGTCTAGATAGCTCATTAATATCCATTTGGTAATGCATAGAGCATATCATATAACGCTGATTAGTTAAAGCGGGAAAAGTTAATATTAGGCTAATGTATCATAATCAACATATTTGAGTAATGATGCCACCTTTTGTTTTGGCCTTACAAGTAATAATTAAGGAAATAAAACTTGACCGATGAAACATGCATTAATTGTATCTTCGCCTCTCTTTATGCGAACGGAGGCCCCCTTTTGACTACTATTACTTGGTTTGGTAGGAGCTCTAAGGAGTGAAGGTAAATTGATGCAAGGTTTAATAAGATGCAACGAGGGATGTATCTTTTGTGGTTCTCCTTTGGGTGGAGAGGGAGTAAGGGGAGGCACATGATTTTTTTTACTCCATTTTTGTATTTTCTCTCTCCTCACTCTTATGTTCCTATAAATTGGAGGGATTTTTTTTCTCTCTTATGATTTTTCAGTTCATTTTGCATTTTCTCTACCCTCAACTCACTTTACTCTCTAATTCACGTGTTATCCTGTGAGAAGTGAACTCACCGCCGAAGAGAATTATATATATATTTTGTCCCTTACCACACTCTTACCTCCCTTCCCACCAAACTAATTAATTAAGCCTAATTGCAACTTCCCACAACCTGATTAGCTCTTAACTTCATAAATTAACTTGTCGTCGTTTGAAAAGGTATGCATGAAAGTGGCTATATGATTTTCTTTCCTTAAATATAATAATTATTAAGGGTATGTGATTATATATCCAAGTCCCAACAACCATCACAGCAATATGACGACCAAACACCACGTACCCAGCATGCGTGCGAACGAAACTAACGCGGAACCTGAGATCGTTGAGACCAATTTAATTTAGATGAACAGTTTCTGACATTTTCATTTAATTATACGTAGTAAATTTTTTGAACCATAAAATTTTATTATAAAGTCAAAGCACAAGCTCTCCTATTAACGCCTCCTGTTTTTTTTTAATGTGATGATGTATAACAAAATATGTGGTAGTAGAGAAGTTGACTTTTCGTTCTTGTTAGGGTACGATCCACAAACGTTTTGGTCTCGTGTTCGTATTTCCCGGTAGGTAAAAACCCTCGAGGCAGCGCCAGCCACGAAGCGCGAGTAAGGATTAATCACATCCATATATAAGATGTAGGGATAACTCATGCGAAACTGAGAGAGAGAGAGAGAGAAGTCAACTTTTCACTAGAGAAACCAGGGACGTCTGACTTTTAATTAAAATTGGATGCTGATGATGGAACAACGCGCAACCAAAAAAAAAGTGTCAACACCGCCATCTCTAGCATTGACTTCTAAGATAGCTGATGAGATCTGCATTAATACTTTATTTTTAAAATATAGTTAATGTAGTCGTAAAATCGCCCCGGTCAACGTACCAATATGTTAACAAGTTGCAGATATGTAGTTGATTCATCTCAACTAATTAACATCCGGCAAATTGCAGATCCCATTGAAAGCAAAGAGATATCTCCCAGCCATAATTATTATTCACAAACTAGGCTCTCTTTTTTTAGTCCTAATGTTTTCCTCACAATTGCATTCCAAACGTACTCACAGTCTTTGCTTGTTCTTTTGTCGTCTCTTAATTTAATTCTTATTAGTGATGAAGAGAAGTAGGGAAGGACGACCAAGTTTCTCAGGCAAGCAAGGATCTAAGCCTGTTTCCGAATCCGACAAACAAAAAGATTTGTAGAAATCTCAGGCTCTTGTCTTCACACACTCTCTCTCTAGAAGAACAAGTGCCACAGAGTCGCGATAAAAGGATTTTAGCCGACTATAACTGGAAGCAGCATGCATAAATATTAATTATACCAAGATCTTGACTTATTATTGTCCGTCCGTCTCTTGCTTCAACTTGATGGGAATTTTGGTCCTTGAGTTGAGCAGACAGAATATGAATGGACCAATTTTGCCAAAGAGCTGTGCATTCCAGATACAACTCGTCTCATGTATACTACTAGCTATTATCCTTTCAGAATAAAATACTACTAGCTAGACGGATGGTAACATCTGCTTATCATGTAATTCATAACTAATATAAATCGGTCTGCTGGCCTGCTCTCTCCACTCGCGGGTTCAGACCAATCAGCAATCATGAGATTAGATATTTAAAAAATAATTTAAAAAAAAAAAAAAAACATGCGCTAGTTTTAGTGTGTTTGACCGTAGCGCAATAGGCCAGCGACAAGCTATACACAACCAAAACACGCATCATCTCATCTCCGACACTCACAAACGCACTCTCCCTACCGTCTGTCGTTATGCTATAAAACATGCCATAAACTACATCGCTCAGCAGATTATCCCTCCGCCTTCAAAATGTTGTTCTCCTCCTCCTCCTCTGTTTGATTAGCGTCAGAGGAAGTCATGGCATCCAAATATCAACTGCTGCCCTCTATTCAGCAGCTTCTCTTGTTATTATTCTCCACCACGGTGCTAACTACTTCCTCAAGCAATAATCATGAGATCCTGCAGAGAGGGTTCTCCGCAACACCGGACCCTTCCTCCTCTCTTCGGTTCCAACCCATTCTCACAGACCCAACATCCACCTTCTCCTTCGGTTTCCTCCGAATCAACTCTTCCCTCCTCGACCTCTCTGTCATCCACCTCCCCTCTTCCTTCCCTCTCTGGCGAGCCATCCCATCTCGACCTGTTTCCTGGTCCCACTCCACCTCTCTCTCCTTCAACGGCACCACTTTGCACCTCTCCGACACCACCACCACACCCGTGCCTTCTTGGTCAACCCCTACCCCCGCTGATGTTATTGGTGATGGCTATAAGCTCGTCCTCCTCAACTCCTCCAACCTCCAAATAGCGCACAAAGATCAAAATCAGGCTGTTCCGTGGCAGAGCTTCGATTACCCCTCCGACACCATAGTCCAGCACCAGAACTTCACCTCCCAATCCACTCTCTCCTCTACCAACCAACGCTTCTCCATGAGCCTAGGCCCCACCTACCTCGGCCTCTACATGCAACACCTTGGCGTCCCATATCGCCCCATGTACTGGAAGCGCACCGCTCTCCAGGCCAAGGCCCAGATCGTCCTATCCCAGGGTCCCATCTACGCCCGCCTCGAACCCACTGGATTCCTAGGCCTCTACCAGAACGAGACCGCCATCGTCGACGTCATCTCCTTCGACACCTTTAATGCAGGCATCAAGAAGAACCTCCGGCGGTTGACTCTGGAGCATGATGGCAATCTCAAAGCTTACTACTGGAATGGGTCAGATTGGGTTTCGGATTTTGAGGCCATCTCTCAAATATGCGATCTCCCCGCCACTTGTGGGGCCTACAGTCTGTGCCACGTGAAAGAGCAGCAGTGTGGCGGCTGTGTCGACAACAGCACAGATGGAGGGTGCTTCCCTGCAGATTCGGGTGATTTGTGCGGGTCAGGTGGGGGCGGGTTCCACGTTGTCAGGAGAGCGGGTGTGGATCTGGCCAATAAAGACCTGATTGGGTTCCAGAGAGTTGAGTCGTTGCAGGAGTGCGAGATGTTATGTGAAAGAAACTGCAGCTGTTGGGGTGCGGTTTACAATAACGTCTCCAGGGATTGCTA